GAGTAGCGCTGCAAGATTTCTATTTGTGTCGGTGATTTTGAGGATGGCTTCCCCCAAAGGGTAAACGTACCTGATGTTCAATGAAATGGCATACTTACATTATTTTCAAGAAATTCTAAATTTTTAGTTTGTATTTCTTCCTTGATCCAAGGTTTTTTTTTTCTTTTGTCTTTTTTAAAGGGCCAGGTACTCATTTTTAATTGTTAAACTGTGTGACAAGATTAAGTGGAGTTTTCTTTCTTTCTTTCTTTCTTTTGGGGGGGCCAGGGATTGAACTCAGGGCCTCACGCTTGCCAGGCAGGTGCTTATGCCGCTGAGCTAAACCCCTGGCCCCCTAAGTGGAGTTTTCAAATAAGGAAAAAGTTATCCTATTTCCACTCAGCTAGCGTGAGTGTTTTGATTATTTTTACATTTTCCTCTCTAGGTGCTTGCATTTTCCCACACGTTTCTAATCATCATGTGATGCAATTTCTTCCATTCATTCATTTACTCTGACCGTGTCTGAGTGCCCATTAGGAGCCAAGCCTGCGCTTTGTGCCTGGGGATAAAGAGATGAGGAGGACAGACCTTTTGACCTTATCTCTGGGCTACAGATATTTTCCTCTGTTTCTTCATAATCTTTATCTCTTAACTGTGTTGAATGCTTAGTTTTTTTCATTGTACATAACAGTGAACGTTGTAAAGATTACAATTTTGTTCTATTGAGTTTTCTGTTTCCTTCAGAGACATCCTCCCACCCCCCAGGGGATCAAACTCAGGACCTTGTGCTTACCAGGCAAGTGCTTGAGCCGTTGAGCTAACTCCTGGGACCTTTTGTTTTGTTTTGTTTTGTCTTGTCTGAGACAGTGTCTCTGTATTGTGCAGGCTGGCCTTTAACTTGCTTATGGAGCCCAGACCGACCCCAGACTCACAGCCATCATCCTGCCTCAGCCTCCGGGAGTGCTGGGATTACAGAAATGTGCCACAGCACATCCTGGAAAATGAGATTATACTGGGTTAGGAGATTGGTATTTTGTGTGGTATTTGTCTTCTGTCATTGCCTCATACTGTGTTCTGGAAGGGTAGACCGTAAGTGTAGTTGGATTCTAGCATCTCAAGTGGTGCCTGACACCTGCTTTGTCTTTCTGAAGAGGCCCATCAGCAGGCACGGCTGGTCTCCTGCTTCTCCCCTTCAGCCGTCACGTCACCTGCCGCCTGTCACTGTCCAGCCCTCAGCCCTGCTGGGATCTGTTCCTTTCAACCTGCCTGCTCCCCTATGTCCGCCCCTCCGTTGGTTTCTCCTCGCGTTAGTGGGTGTCAGCCTTTGGAGATGTCTGTGGTGGGCCCTGGCAGTGCCCTGCAGTCCCCGTGGCTTGTGGAGACTTGCGTTGCTCGGATGTGGTGGTGGGTTTGCTCTCAGGCCAGCCTGTTCATCAGCAGGTATTTGTCATGGCTGCTGAACATCCATCACTCAGGTGAGGAGACCCAGTGGCAACACCAGGATGACACCCATATTCTTGTGAAGACTGCTGCCGCCACTCACAGCCACAGTGTTCGGGAGTCATCTCCCGGGAGGCACACTTTCCTCCAGAACTGGTGTGAATGGTGTCCTGTCCCCTTTCTGCCACCCTGGGAAGTATGGTGAATGGTACTTATTAATTCGTCTCGCAGAGGTGCAGAAATGGTGCAGGGTGCTGTTGCGGGGTGGCTGTCTGGAAAGGAGCCTTGATGGATATTGGTGCTGGTTTCTGAGGTTTTTTTTTGTCTGTTTTGGAAGCATGGAGGCTCTTCTGCATACTGGAACCATAAACTTTCCTCTCATTCTCGAATTTGGGCACCTGACTAAAGGATCAGGTCTGACTTTCTGGACCTCTGTGATTTAGTAGAGGGCCTGATGTCCGGTGGCATCTTAGTAACATTCCTGGGTCTAGATCAGCAGTACACTCTCCCTTCCGTCCGTGAGCAGCTTCCTCAGCACTCTGAGCTGCTGCGCTCTGGCTCAGTCAGGTGCCATCTTGGGTTGGACGTCTTCATGTTCACCCTCTTGTCCTGTCTCCCTGCTCACATCTGGCTTGTTTTACACCTGTCCCATTGCCCTGTCTGTCTCCATGATGATCTTGCTCCCATCTCCTTCCTCTCTGCTTCCAGGCCTCAGTCCAGGATGCTCCGCATCCTGCGACGCCTCCATTCCCTCTGGAAGGCGCTGTGTTGCAGCCTCCCCCGAGCCTCTGCCTGCCCCACTGTAGGCTCCCACGCCTGCCTTGGCGCCCACAGGCCACGTTAGGTGTCTGGCATGGACTTGACTGTGCTGCTCCCTGGAAAATCCAGTGCTTTTGATTTTTAAAAAATTAGTTTCAATTTTTAAAATACCTTGAAATACTTAACCGCAGAAGAGAAGCCTGGGTGATGAGCGCTCATATACATACCACTTACATCCAACTGATGTTCACGTTTTGCAGTTTTTCTTGGCTCCTTTTGTTTTTGATTTGGAGATCACAGCTGTGGTTGCAAGTGCCCTGCATCCTTCCCCTTCCATAGGAAACCGCCGTCCCTTACCTCTAGGGTTTCATAGTCACCCTGCTTGTGATGGTGGCCTTGAGGAAGATCTTCTCATTTTGGGTCCTTCGACACCTTCCATAAATGGTGTTGGACTGAGCCTTGCACCTGCCAGTTGCTGTCTTCTTCTCTGTTTTAGGTCCATCAGCATTGATCTGGACAGCTCTTGGCCATTCATTTTAAATGTTTTATGGCAGTGTGTTTATATTTTCCCCAAGATTTATTTATCTACACAGTGACTTCTTTTTTTTTTTTCTTTGCTTGGTGCATGTGTTCCATTTGTCACTGTTAGCAACTGTTGAGTTCTTAAAGTTACTGGGCTCCCACACCCTGGGCCGTGGGAGGAAGAGGTGGCTGAACAGCTCCCAGTCCTCCTGGGGCCCTGCACTGCAATCCTGGCAATACTGTCTCCCTTAGAGAGTGCCTTTAATGACAATAATAGTCAGCATGCATTTTGGCATCCGGTGTCCCAAGCCCTGGTCTTGGTCCTTCATGCCTGTTTAAATCCTTTTATTCCCCCAGCAACCCTGTGACGTCGGCAGCATTCTCTTTCAGCATTTTCTCCGTGTTTTCTCTCTCATCAGGACATAACCCACCCAGCTCAACTTGGATGACCTCAGAATCCTTCATTTAATCACATCAGCAAAGACCCTTTTCCAGACAAGGTCACTGGGTCACTTTCTGTCTCTGTGACAAAACACCTGAGATAGTCTTTTAAGGAGGAAAGGTTTATAGGTTTATTTTGGCTCGTGATTTCAGCAGTGTTAGTCCATGGTTGGTTGGCATGGTTGATTTGGAGCCTGTAGTGAGGCAGGACATTTATGATGGATCCTGTGGTACAACAAAATTGTGAACCTTGCAGCCATCAGCAAAAAGAGACCAAGACCAGTGTCCCTGGGTCCCCTTCTAGGGCACATCCTCAGGGATGTAACTCCTTTCCATTAGGTCTCACCACTACCTCCTAGTCGTGCCACAAGCTGGAGCCAGGCCTTCCACACACGGGCCTTTGGGGATTCCAAGATCCAGACTGTGACAGTCCTCCCTGTAGATGCCAGGGATCGGACTGAACTCTCTTCTGGGGAGTCATTACTGTTCTTGGCAAGTTCCTGTCTTGACAGCCGACCTCAGGCCCACTATTCAGGTCCTTCCCTTCCCTCCTTGGCATGACCCTGCGTTTATCCCTTTCCCTCTGTCCATGCCGCAAGGCAGTGGTGGGTTTGTCTCTTGCCTGTGATCTTCTTGTGGTCTTGGTTCTTGACATGCCAGAACCACAGCCGGGGTCTGGCACCTCAGAGTCCTTGTGGAGGTCTGTTCTCCTCTAGTTGCAGCCCCCTGTTGTCTCCTCCACTGGGCATCACCTTTCCTCGTCGGGCGGCAGCCTGAGCCCCATCCTTCCCAGCAGGACAGTCGCAGTTACTGCCTTGCTGCGTTTAGTCTTCCACTGTGTGGCCTCCAGTTCTGTCAGAACACTGCTGTCAGAGTGATCTTCTTGAAGCACTTTGCCTCCATCTCTGCTGAGAAGCATCAGGGCACATTGCGTCTGGCAGCAGTGTCACAGGCCTGTCCTCTTATAACCCGCTATCAACTAATCACCTGTCACTCTGTCTTTGTACTTTGGGGCCTGTTGCTCTTTTTTCCTCCTCATCATAGTGATAGATTATCATTTTTTCTGTACATGGGAATACATATGCTTCCCTTTCCCTAAAGACAGGACTCTAGCTTTATTGGTGTCTCTGAGCTTTGGTGCTTGCTTGCTTTGGGCCAGGGGCAAAGGGCAGGAGTTCCTCGTCTTCTGTTAGCCAGGCAGTCTCCGTTAGGCCCTCCCCTGCACGAGCTACGATTCATGCCTCGGGCGTGCAGACCAGGGTTCACTAGGAGCAGGGCGAGGATGCCGTGTTTTCCAGTCCTACCCTGTGGAGGAAAGAAGGCTGTTTGTTAGGTCATCCATTTGTTCTACAATCCTAAGAAGAAGAAAAACTTTGACCTTCCTGCTACCAGGTCCTAAGGGTGTGCTGAAGGACAAGGACAAGTCGACATGGTACCTGCCCTCTGAGTTCCCTCTGCACTGGGCAAGGCAGGCGGCAATTATGACTCACACAGGAAAGAAGTTTGTGTGCGTGTGCGTGTGTTTGTGTGTGTGTGTGTGTGTGTGTGTGTGTGTGTGTGTGTGTATGCAGAGAAGTCTGGGATCTGAGCTATGGAGAAAAAGTACAGGGCCCTCTTCTGAGTATAAATTGAGAGCTTGAATGGGTTTTGGGGTGACAGGGGCTTTGGGCTGAGAGCAGAGTAATGAGAGAATGAGTTAGACCTCACGGGCCTCAGGAAGAGGAAGCCAAAGGCAGGAAGACCAAGTGGCTGGCACTCGATTCGGGGAAGGACGGAGGGTTGGCTCGGGAGTTCAGTCTTGATCCTGAGAGCACTTCTCATTTTGTGTTTTACTTTTTGTCTTTTCTCCCCTCTGCTAGGTTAGAAAATTTAGTCAGGAAGTACTTTTGATCCTTCTGGAACAGCAGCTGATTTTCCAGAATGATACTGAACACAGAGTGTGTCCGATCCTGCTGGAGCTGTCTGGCCCGGAGAGGGATGATGAGTGCAGAACGGAAGCCGTGAGTGTGGGTCTGTTTGGGAATCACGGTCAGCACCCGCTGGGACTGTCCTAGCTGCTGGCTATGCATGGATTGAAGTATCACATGCATGCAGTTTGGGCCAGGGACTTGACCTAGGTCAGAGAAAGCTAACGGACCCTGTTTTAGGAGGACCCTGTTTTGGGAGCACTGGTTGTTTTAAGAAGGTGAGGCTCAGGAAATCACAGTAATGTGGGCACGGCCGAGGCAGCTGGCCTGGGCGCTGCTGGTGAGATGCCAAGGCTGACAGGAAAGGCCTGGAGCTTGCTTGTTCTCAAAGTAAGGCACCTAATACAGTATGTGAGATCATTTCAGGTCAATTAAGAAAGTTGGATAGACCCATGCATCTGTTTTATAAATTAGAAGAGTAGAGTAGTTTTGTAAATTAGTAAGAAAAGGCATGGTAAAGAGTGCAGATAATGGCAAGGTGTTTACAGACATCTAAGGAAAGTTTAGAGCGGTGATGGCAAACGGTTCAGAGCCTTTGGGGCTACAGGCAGCCCACTGTGGCACCTGTGCCGCTAGGCTCGCCACCACTGATGTAGTGTTTGTGTTCATATCAATTAAAGATACCCAGGAAGGGACTATTATAGCTCGCTGCATGTCTTCTATCTTTATGGGTTCTTTGTTTCTTTGTTTTTGAGACAGGGTCTTACTATGTAGTGCAGGCTGACCTTGAACTCACTATGCAGGTGAGACTGGCCTTGGACTTGCAGCAGTCCTCCTGCCTCAGCCTCCCTATTGGGATTCAGGCCTGCACTACCATGCCTGGCTGTACATTTAGAGCTAACAGTTGGTATCCTTGGATGTGTGAGCTTCTGTTCTCACTGCCGCATGAGTGTGCATTCAGGACTTCCGACTCGTGGCGGATGAACTGTTGCTGGCTTTTACCGCCCGTGGGCCAAATGCTTGGCCTGTCCTTGTGTTTTTTTCCCCTCTGTGGTTGGATAGAAGGCCATTGTGAGCCTTTTGTTCTTAACTTCTTGAAGTGACCCTTTCTGTCTGCATCATGGAAATGCATGGCTTCAGGATTATTCCAGTGTTTTAGGAAGAATTTGAACATAAGGATTTTAAAACCATAAGCTTGGATTGTGAATACAGTAAAAGATAGAAGATAGTTGTTTTCTTGTTTGGAAAAGAATGATGTTAGAGAAAGGAATTATTTTCTGTTCCTAAGTACAAGAACACTATATGCTGTGGAGCTAAAATATTGTATTGCACCATCAGAACATTTGGCAATTATTCTTTATTTATGTAAAAGTTTTCTTCAGCTATGTGTTAAAGGTCTGGCTTTTTAAACTAATTTAATTTTTTGCATATTCCGTAGGTTTGTAAGATGAATCAGGCTGAAGAATAATTGATTATTAAAATTCAAATTCTCCAGGGTTCTTTTATAAATTTCAAGTTTCTCTACAAGAAATTAAATTTATTTTGCAAAATGAACCTGGATAATAGCATTTAGCTGGGATATTTGGCAGTTGAGTAGTGAACTTTGCCAACTGGATCATCTTTTTCATTTGGAAGTTAGGTGAGTTTCCAAGGTTATGACTGATAACCAAAAACCTTATCCCTAAAGACTAATAATACATGAAAAATAATGCTGAAGGTATTTTTGCATGATTTTTGTTTGTTTTGTTTCCAAATGATTCATTCTTGTCAGCAATATTTTTCTTTTTTGGTAGAAATATTTGGAAAATATAATGAGCCTTCCAGAAGCTTATCTCCACAAATCACTTGCAGAACAAATTAGTTCACATAAATTTTGTGTTTTATTCAGAGTGAGTTGCTGGTGTTATGTTTGATGTATAAACTTTCAGATGAGGTTGCAAGAAAGGAGGTGGCCTTGAACCCCCTGCAGGGCACTCCAGGCCAAGTATGCCTCTTTGTTCCCCCAAGCTTCTCAAGGGCCTGTCTTTCTCTTCCCCTGGGCCCCTAATGGGAACAAGATGCGAGGCATTTTGTCTAGCCTATGTGCATTGTGGTCCATTTCTTTTCCCCAGAGCCTGGAGACCAAAGCTGTCAGAGGAGACACAGCCTTTGGGCTTAGGGAGCTACAGAGCCCAGACGGACTGACATCTTTTCAGAGGGGCAGTGACCATGTGGGTAGCATGTGGGTTTCACTCTTCAAGTACCACAGTGTGTTTTGTAGGATTTCTGGTAAGACAGTGCTCCCATTCAGTTGGTCTGTGAGTGATGCCCTGTGGAAGCAGTGTGTGTTTGTCAGCTGGTGACTTGGGGAGCTGTCAGCCTAAGGGTTGACGGAAGTATTGAAAGTGACAGATTGGGCTAGGCTAATGTCCTCTGGATCTAGGCCTGGCATCGTGTTTTCTGCCTCCCTCCCTGTTTCTTACCCCCTTCCCTTGCCCTTTTCTGTAGTGGTGGGATTGCAGGCATGTGCCACCATACCTGGCTAAGGCTCTCTTTGAAGCCATATTGGGTGGAGGTGCAGAATATACATAAACACACACTCACTCTGCTGCTCTGGAGCGATGGCTCCTTGCTTCTGGGGATACTACATGTCATGTGGACAGAATGTATGTCTGCCCTAGGCTTTTGATTCTTACTAGGCGTTATAGTCAGTTGATTGTGATGCTACAAACTTGGATGCATATGTTATTGGGACGGTCAGATAGCACAGTTTACATGCTAGATTCCTGGATTCTTCTATGCTTGTGCATTTTCCTTTATGAAATCTGTATGATACTCCAAGCCATGTTCATGACTCTCCTTTATGCAGTCATCAGGGTTGGTGCATATTTCTCTCCTGTCACTTAGCAATTGAGTTGTGAAGTTGTTGACTTCTCCCCTGAGGCAGCGAGTTCTTTAAATTCGGGGCATGGCGTCTTTGCATCATCAGCACCCAGCACAGTGCCAGGCCCAGAGTCAGTACTGAATAAATGTTAGTTGTTGGGTGAATGGATTGGTAAAAACTGCAGGAGCTGTATCTTGTAATTATATCTAGACAGGATAAACAGGCCACTGGAGACCAATTATAATTCCTCTTGCTTGCAGGGAGGCCATTAGCATTCTGAGATTATAACTAATTGTCAGAAGCCTATTTTTCTCTCTCAACACGTTTTCACATTAAGGCTTCCTCATTTTGTGTCGTCATTCCTGTTTTTAAGCTCACTTTTATTTGTACATTTATTTAGAAAGAATGCTGTGGTTATTGTGCTATGAAGAATACTTGGCTCCAAGCAACTAAGTGAAGATCGCCTTCTATACAAGTGGTTCCCAGGGCCACAGGAATATAATTTCTTGTCACTTTGTGTACTGACTTAATGATTCTGCGTTTGTTTTATACTGTGTAGTAATAAGGTCATGTGGGCACAGCCGAAGGGGAGGAGTGGATGGAGATCCTGGGAACTCTTTAGTTGCCTGTTACCCTGGATACAGAAGCCGCACGCCTTCGTTTGTTGTGACAGTCACTTTGTACAACTCTGCTAAGCATCACATCAAAAATAGGCATTTCTTGAGTTCGAAGACACAGCCTTTTCTTTATTTATGTTATAGAGCTGGGTTCCTCTCTCCCACCCCACCCTGATTAGTGTTTTCTCCACTTTATCTGCTTGTGTGCAAATTCCAAATAGAGTGATGTCAGGGCTGGGGATTCAGCTCAGCGGCGTAAGTGTCTGCCTTGTAAGCAGGCAGTCGTGAGTTCGATCCCCCGTACCAATAAAAAGGAAAAAAAAACACACACACAAAAACAAATAGAGTGATGTGTAGATTGCCTACTTTTTACTGTGGAGTGGCAGTGCTGTGTACATTCTGAGAAAGAGACTTCAGAGGAAATCCCCTTGCACTTCCTTTTTCTAATTTTAGGGAGAGTAGGAGAGTTCTTTTGGATATTTTGGGGGTAACTTCATTTTGTTTTAATTTCAACTTTCAGAAAAGTTGCAGGAATAATAATAGGAACTCCAGACTACACTGTATCTAGCCTCTCTAGTAGGGTATATTTAGTTTCCTTTGTGATACTGTTTTCCTTTTCCGCCTCTGAGAGAGAAAGAGAGAGAGAGAGAGACAGAGAGAGAGAGAGAGAGACAGAGAGAGAGAGAGAGAGAGGGAGTTTTTTGCCTTTGAATCTTACGAGAGTAAGTTGGATGTCTTGTGTCTCTTTACATCTAAATACTTGAGTGTTTGTGCCCTGAAAACAAGGAAATTCTCTTGTACACAACCGCAGCACAACAATTAAAATCAGGAAGTTTAGTGTGGATACGGTGCTAATGTCTGTAATCCACGGTTTGGATTCAGATGTTACCACTTGTCAGGGAACAGGGTCAGACCCCTCATGCCATTGAGTTGTCCTATCTCCTTGATGTCCACTAACCTAGAACAGTTCTTGAGTCTTTAATTTTGTTGTAGTAACATGCTGAGAAGCTATACACCAGTTCTTATGTAGAATGTCTCCTGTTTGGTTTCGGTTGCTGCTTCCTCATGATAGGATCTGATTCTTCCTAGGAGGAAGACCGTGGAAGACAGTATTCTCAGTGTGTCAAGGCGGAAGGCACAGGACTTTTTTTGGTAACGTTAATTGTGATCACTTGATAAAGGTGACATCTGCCACGTTCTCCAGTAGGCTTGTTTGTTCCATCTGAAAGTGCTGAGGAAAGGCACTTGGAACTGTGTGAGTGTGCTTCTCCGCATTAACCCTTCCCCCTAAGCGACGGTGCCTGCTGAAGGTCCGAGCTGGCGTTGTCCTGGGAAGAACGCTCGGTCCCGTTTCCACTGTTTGCCTGCACTTTGGAGGATTTTCAAGCCTACATTCAGGAGGACTGTGGTAGGCAGTTTTTATTTCCTATTGTAGATTTGTCAAATTTTGGAATCATTATTATTCTGGCCTCAAAAAATAACTTGCGAAATATTCTTTCCCAGTCTGCTTTTTAAAAGATTTTGTTTAATATTGGAGTTATTTTTCTCATTAAATATTTAATTCACAATAAAAGCTCTGATTCAAGTGAGGTGGGTTTTTGATAGCATTCAATTTAAATTTAGGGCTTCATTTTTGTTCTCTCATCGACGTTGCTGGGTAAGTTGGATATTTTAGAGAATTTATTAATTTCATCTAGATTGTTAAATTTATTGGGTGAGAGTTGTTCACAGGAGCTCTTTATTATCCTGTAAGATCTGTAGTGTTAGCACCTTTGTTTGTGAGATTGGTAATTGGTGTGTTCTCTATTTTTCTATTTCTTGAACAGTCTTGGTAAGGATTTGTCAATTATATTAATATTTTCAAACCAATTTTTTGCTTTATTGATTTTCTTTGTTGGTTTAAGGATTGAAATATTTTTATTTTAGTTTCTCAGTGTGTGTGTGTGGTAGGTGATGTTTATGTTCCTTGCGGGAGGTTGACACGTGTAGGCAGCACATCTCAATCCCTTCTGTCGCCCTTTCTCCTCCCCACCTCCCCGCTCCACCTGCCTTTTGATCCCTTTTTTTTGTATATATCTGCAGTACACACTGTTTACATCCCGTCTGTGGAGCTGGCACATGTACGTGAAACGTAAATGTCTTTTCGTCACCCTGTATCCCACGCTCCCTCTCCTCTTCCTCCGTCTCGAGGTCCCCTTCACCTTAGAGAATGCTCAGTCCCCCGGCTTCCTGTGATCTCTTAGTTTGCTCTATATTTTTACTCTGAGTTTCTTGTATAAGAGAAATCATGTGATACGTAAGCTTGTGTAACTGATTTATTTCACTTGACTAAATTATTATCTCAAGTCCATTGATCTCCCTCCAAATGACTTGAGTCCTGCTTTACGGCACATGGAACGCTGCTGTGCATCAGTACCACATTTCCTTTATCCACTCATCTACTGATGGACGGACATATGGGCTGCTTTCAAGATGTAGCTCTTAGGAACTGTGCTGCCATAAATAATGTGGGTGTGTGTGTGTCACTGTAATAGGATTTCTTTAAGTCCTTTACGAAGATACCTGAAAGGTGAGTGGTTGGGTCAAATGAAATGTCTAGTTTTAGTTTTTGAAGGGATCTCCATAGTGACTCCCGTAGTAGTTACACCAGTCTATCTTCCTGCCAGCTATGTAGAAGAGTGTTCCTTTTACCCTGCAGCCTCTCCAGCATTTGTTACTTGGTTTCTTGATGGTACCCATTTTTTTTAGAGAAAAATGGAATCTCAGTGTTGTTTTAGTTTGCATTTATCTAATGACCAGTGAGGTTGAGCCTTTCTTCATGTATTTACTGGCCATTTGTACTACTTCTGTGAAGTGTCTATTCATTTTGCTTCCCCATTCTTTTGATTGGGCCTTTTATTTGGGGACACTCTTAATTTTTTTTTGCATTCTTTGTATATTCTAGATGGTGAGTCCCCTGAGGAATCACTGGCAAAAATTTTTTTTGCCCATTCTGTAGGTTGTTTTTCACTTGTTGATTGTCGCTAGGGTTTTTTTTTTTTTTTTTTTTTTTTTCTTGTATGGAAGCTTTTCGATTTAATATCATCTCATTTGTTGATTCTTGGAACTATTTCCTGTGCATCTAGGGTTTGGTTCAGAAAGTCCTTGCTTATGCCTATGACTTCAAGTATTTACCTGTCTTGTCTTCCAGCAGGTTAAGTGTTTTTGGTGTAACATTTAGTTCTTTGATCCATTCTGATTTTAGTTTAGTATATACTGAGAGCGATGGGTCTAGATTCAGTTTTCTGCACGTGGACAGCCAGTTCTCCCAGCACCATTTATTAAAGAGCTGTCTTTCTTCCAGTGTTATGTTTTGGTCCCCTTGTCAAACATCAAATAGTTGAATGTGTCTGGAGTTGTTTTTATATCCTCTGTTCTATTTCATTGATCCTCAAGTTTGTTTTTGTGCCAGTACCATGGTTTTTTTTAAGTGTCACAATAGCTTTATAATATAACTTGAAGTCTGAGATTGTGATGTCTCCTGCTTTGTTCTTGTTGCCCTGAATTGCTTTTGCTATTCTCAGTCTCTTCTGGTTCCTTACGAATTTTCAGATTGTTTTCTCCGGTTCTGTGATGAATGCTGTTTAGATACTGATTGAGATTATGTTAGATCTGTATATCAACTTTGGAAATAAGGCCATCCAGGAATAGGAGTTGTCTATTTTCTGATGTTCTCTTCAATTTCTTTTTTCAGAGTACTATAGTTTTCACTGAAGAAGTCTTTCACTTCCTTAGTTGGGGTTAATTCCTTAGTGTTTAATTTTTCTTTGTGCTACTGTGGATGATTTTTTAAAATTTATTTTCTAGTGAGTTGATTATTAGTGTAGAGGAACACTGTAGATTTTTGTGTGTTGATTTTGTATCTTGCTATATTACTGATTTTGGTTATTCTAAGAATCTCTTGGCAGATTTTGGTGGGGTTTTTCTATGTAGAGGATCATCTGTAAATAATGATAATTTGACTTCTTCTCCAGTGTACAAGAAGCCTTTCATTTTTGTTACCTAATTGGTCTTTCCAATCTTTTACTTACTGTGTTGAACAGGAGTGGTGATCTTTCTTGTTTTCTTTGTCTTAGATTCCTACTTTTTTTTTTCCTGCCTTTTACTTCTTTTTTCTTTTTATTGGTACCAGGGATCGAACTCACGACTGCCTGCTTGCAGGGCAGGCGCTTATGCTGCTGAGCTAAATCTCCAGCCCTGCCTTTTACTTCTTGAGCTCAATTTTCTTGCATTTTTCTAGCTTCATAAAGGAAAAAAACATTTTTAAGCCTGCATTTTTATTTTAAGTATATAAAGGTACATGTTTGATGTTTATGTTTTTGTGATGTATCAATCCTTTTATTATTAAGTAGTTTTTCTGATAGTAATACGTGTGTTTGTCTAACGGTGATGTTAATACCACAACTCCAGGGTTCTTAGGCGTATGACTATGATTATATTTGCTTATATTCTTTTATTCTCACCTTATAAGTATTTATATGTAGAGTGTTTCTGCTTTCATTAGAATATGATTGGGTCTTGCTTTTGTATCTAGTCTGATAGTTTCTGCCTTTTAATTGGAATGTTGAGATCATTTGTCTTTATGTGATTATTACCATGTTCAGATTTATTTCTGTCATTTTGCTATTTATTTTCTATTTTTCTCACAGTTTTGTTTCTCTTTTAATTTTTTCCTTCTTTCTGTTGGGTGAATTGAGTATTTTTTTTTTTTATTTAAAGGAGAAAGAAAAAAAATAGTACTAGGGTATAAGTAATACATAATTTAAAAAAAACAGTAAGAAATCACTAGTTAATAGATTACATATTGTCATCTTAGAAATAGTTGTTCAAATTACAGGATTAAAGCATACAAAGTGGACATTCAAACAGTGAGACTGCAAACAGTTGTGTTCAATGATCCAACAAAAACCCAGCAATATGGTCTTCTATCTTAACACACCTAAACACACTTGCAGTTGTATCCTTTAGAGCACTTTTTTTCCCTTTATTTTTTACAACAACATTTACACATTTTGAGTTTTATTACTCCCATAGTTCTTATTACTTTTTTTTGGAAGAAAATAAAACCAAATATGACAAAACAAAGGAGTCAGTCAAAACAAAGGATGGACGTAGTACATAATGTAAAAACAGAATACAAGGTAATCAGCAATGGTTACCATAATGCCTCTTGCTACCTTAAAAAGAATTGCCTATATCATTAGGTATAATAAAATTGAACAAAACAGTACAGAACAAGACCAATAAAACCTAAACATTGGAGACCTTACAGGACTTCAAAAGAAGATAATAGTCAAACCAGACTGGGCATCATAGTGAGTCTTATTGCCTTCAAAGTAATTGCCTATACTCTCAAACTTGATACTATCAAACAGAACAGAACAGAGTAAAATCAGTCAAAACAAAATGGTGGGAGAAATATAGGGCTTCAAATCAAATTAATAGGAAATCAAAAAAGTTACTATAATATATCCTGCTAATTGTTTTGATTTTTCCCTTAATTAAAAAAATAATAAAATAAATAAAATTTTTTTTTTTAAAAAGGGGGAGATTGAGATAAAAGAGGACATAACAACATAACAATACAGGTCAAAGCATAACAATGTCAGCAACCTAGAGCTTCACCACAAGATAACCCGACTTAATAGTAGTTACCATAGTGTCTCTTTCCTTAAAATATTTGAGTATAACTTTATATACTGTGGCTTCAAACATATCAAGGCAGTGTGAAACCATTCAAGAGGATGAAAGTATTACAGGGTATTTAGAACCAGCTAATGAAAATGAACAATAGTTTCTATATTATCTCTTTGCCTATAAAAATTTTTGTTTATACTATCACATATAATAAAATCCAGTAAAGTACAACATGATAAAACCAATAGAGACAGAAGAACAACAGTTTGGTGGGACTTCAAAACAAGATGATATTAAATCAGCACTAGCTATTATGATGCCTTGTTTTCTTCAAAGTAGCTGTTCATATCATCACAGGAAATAATATCAAACAGCCCAGAATAAAGCCATTCCAATTAATGAGTGAAAATTTTATAAGGCTTCAAAGCCATATAATGGGGAATCATGATTACCACATATTTTTGTTTGTTTGTTTGTTTGTTTTGTCTTTTTCGTTTTTATTGGTACCAGAGATCGAACTCACGACTGCCTGCTTGCAAGGCAGGCGCTTATGCTGCTGAGCTAAATCCCCAGTCTCTAATTACCACATACTTTTATGTATTTGTATCATTTCTTACACTTGGGAAACTTCGGTATTCATACATGTGAGTTTGATTTATTTCACTTATGAGTATGGTCTCAAGCTGTACCCATTTATTTATAAATATCTCAATGTGTTTCTTCTTTATAGCTGAGTAGTACTCCACTGTATAAAAATACCACAACTTTTTTATCCATTCCTCAGTTGATGGACTTTTGGGTTGTTTCCAAGATCTGGCTATTATAAATTGTGCTGATATAAACATGGGTGCATATATGTCACTGTGGTACGATGCTTCACAGTTCTTCTGGGAAGAGCAAGGGTTAATTCCTTAGTATTTAATTTTTCTTTGAAGTGGGATAGCTGGAACAAATGGGACTTCCAATCCCAGCTTTTTGAGAAATCTCCAGACTGACCTCCACAATGGTTGTACCAGTCTACACTCCTACCAACAGTGCAGGAGAGTTCCTTTTTCCCCACAGCCTTTCTAGCATTTGCTGTTGTTGGTTTTCTTGATCCTGGCCATTGTTTCAGGAGTGAGATGAAATCTCAATGTGGTTTTAGTTTGCATTTCTCTAATGAGTAATCATGCTGCACATTTTTTCATGTATTTATTTGCCATTTGTATTTCTTCATCTGAGAAGAAATGAGTATTTTTTTATTTAAAGAGAAAAGAAATGAGTATTTTTTAATATTGCGTCTTAATTTCTCTCTTAAGGATTTTCAAAAACTACAGCAGTCTAGTGTAGTGGCTCCTAACAGCAGTCTCAGCACTCTGGGAGCTAAGTGAGAGGATCCCAAGTTTGAGCCCAGTGTGAGCTTCTTAATGACTTAAGGAGACCCTGTTTCAAAATGAAAAGAAAAGGGCCTGGAGATGTAGTGTGGAGGCCCAGGGTCCAGCCCCCAGTACTGGGCGGGGGCTGCCGCAACTCGGCGTTACTTCGTTCACTTTTATCCATCTTCTGTCCATCTTCTGTCCACCCCCCTTCTGTCTGCCTGCCGTGGAAATTAATTGTTGCTCCTCTGTACTCATCTTGTCCGTGACATGTATGATTTGAAGGCTTTGGCTTTCAGATGACTCTGCTTTTCTTCCATTTGCAGACTGTCTGTAAAATGGCTTCACTGGTGAGTGAGCGTGCGGTCGTACGCCTGCTCTTCTGTGAACCGTGTGGTGACGGGAAGCTCTTTCAGGTTTGGAAGGTGGGAACATAAGAGTTTCCGATGGTAGTTTCACAACATTCATTAAAATATTAAAACCAGTTCCTCTAAGGTTCTTGTCCAGTTTTCAGTAGCCATGGTAGAGGAAACTGTGCCCAGTGCGAACTGTGTAAGGAAAATATTTGACCAGTGTTCTAGTTTTTATTGCAACTAGGAAGTACTTTGAGACTCAACATAAGAATTGTTGTAAATCAGTTGCTCTTGGGTTCAGCGTGAGAGGGAGGGATCTTGCTGGCCGGGGTTAGGTCTTTGATTTCTGGCCATGGTCAGAACCTCTTAGCTTTACCGTACCTTCCACCCCAGCCCCAGCTTCCCTGTTAGCTGCTTGCCATCTCGCTGTCGGAGTCTTCGTTTGGAGACTGTTGCTGTCCCTCCCTAAATGGCCTCCGCCTCCCCCTTGCTGCCTCTAGGCCTTGCTCCTCTGGCCTTTCCCTCCGTGTAGCTGGCCAACATGGTGGTCTCCTTACTAGGCAGAGACTATAACAGGTCTCTTTCTTCCCCATTACTCTTCAAATGCATTATGTATCAAGATCAATTAAGAGCCAGAAAAACGCTCACATTGGGTACCTTGTAAATGTTGTGTTTTGGATGCAGCGGAGGCACCTCACACAGTGCCGGTGGGTGCCAGGCTGGGTGAGGGCTTGTTAGCTGCCCCACTAAACGGGTAATTGCTTTCCAGGTCCCTGCTCGGTAGTTTTTACAATTTATAAAGACAAAAAGGAAAGATGTGAATAATGGGTATGTCTTTTGCATTCTTAAGGTGTGTGCTACAAAGTTTGGTGATGTTTGTCACGCTGTTGGACAGGAAGCTACAGAGAAGATTTTGGTATGTGAAATTTTTTCAGCCCTAATGGCTGATTCACTTCTGAGTGCACTTTCTGAATCTGCATCTTTTATTTGCAACAGCAGCGCAGTCTTACATTCATCAGTATCAGATTTCTCGACAGGTAGCCTTTTTCCTAAGCACGAGGCAGCTCTTGTGAGGAAAGAGGCCGAAGCAGCCAGGCTCGCGCCTCCTTGCCTTCCCGGTCCCTTGTTTCTTCTCACTGTCCCGGCCGCTCTGTCCCTCTGTCCCTCTGCACTGCTCATTCTAGTGCACGGCCACCTTGCCCTTGGGCCTCAACGCCTTTGAGGGTTTTATTGGTTGGTAGATCACTGGCCTTTTGGGTCTCTTTTCTGCCTCGTTGCCTGTCACCTCGCTCAGTTCTGTACACTGCCCTGGCCTGTGCGGGTTTCACCTCTGTCACCCAGGTATCTGGGTTCTGGGGATGTTCGGGGAAGTGGGGAATACTTCCGTCATCTGTGTATTTGATAAATTCTCATGCACAGCACAGCAGACGACAACTTCACCAGCCAGCTGCGGGTTCAGCTTCCTTGAAGTTTCCTGCTGTTGCACCCACTAGGCCTCTGCTGATTACCGGCCCTGAGCCCCAAGTGTCTTCCTGCCTGCTGGGACCCAGCTTCCGTCCACTTGGCCAGACTCCCCTCCCCACAGTGCTGCAGTGTTTCCCTCTCCCCTCCTCGTGCCCTCCCCTCACTGTTGTTAGAGTATCCCAGGGGAGTTCTGTGCTTGGGGGTCTTGATGGTGGAGCCCCATTGTATCCATCTTTGTTTCTGGGTGCTCACCTGGTACCCACCACCTAGAGGACTGCTGAATGCTCAGAAACCTTTGGCTTTTACTGTTACCCAATGGAATATACTACCGGTGTGGAATTTAACCCCAAAGAGTATAAACTTTGATTATTTTAAAAATCAAGGATTGCTGTGAGCTCGAGGCCAGCCTGAACTACATAGTAAGACCCTGTCTCAAAAAGCCAAAGAAATTGCTTCTTGGTGTGCTTCAAGTGTGAAAAGCCAAGCAAAACAAGACAAAAAGCAAAAGCAAAAACAAACAAAAAAACCCCACCAAGATATATTTACCTTATGAATTGAGGGAAGCTGGTAAGATGTTTAGTGGAGAATTCAGAGCACCTCACATTTCTATTAAATCAAGGAATATGAAAGGGAGCTTACAAAAAGATTCAAAACCAGTCAGTCTCTAGAGTGATAACTGCGTTCTGCTGGGCACAGTTCACATTTCTGCAGGCAGGAATGATGTATTACTAAAACTTTGCATCTCTACAGAGTTGTACCGTGCCTAGTCAAAGGCAGGGACAGTTGAGAAAGCTCACTGGGACCTTCACTAAGTCTGTCTTTTACAATCTTACGTACATTTCATGTGATGAGTATGACATTCTATTTTTTTGGAGTTTCCTCTATTTTACTAAATTTAGCCAAGTCACAACTAAAATTAGTAGGTGAAGAAGTGTTAGTTCTGCTTACCACACTTTCTGTCTGTCTCAAACCGTTGCTTTTAGAGCACTGTGTATTTCCCTTTGTTCTGATTTTCTGGATTTATCTTTACTACAATATTAAGACTAGTTCCCTGCATCCTACAGTAATCAGATTTGAGTAACTATTTTTTTTTTTTTTGCTACCTCGTCAGATTCTTTGAGCTCTGCTCAGATAACGATGGGGTGTGCGGGAAGCCTGTGCGCAGTGCTTCGTGGCTGTGTCCTACAACACCTCTCCTGAGGTCGGTGGAAGCCAGCTCTCGCCTCTCTTCATCAGGCTCCTCCGCGACCCCTGTCAAAGGGTAAGTGCTGTCAGCACTGGGTGCTGTCCACCTGTCCAGCTGTGTCCAACTTCTGGGCCTTGCTTCAGTTGCTGGACTTGTGTTTTGTTCTTTCAGTTACTGATTAGCATAATTAGATTTAGATCTTGTGAGGTCTAAATCTAATTCTAAGGTAACTAAAATCTCCAAGACGTAGAGGTGAACACTGAGGAAGAATATTGCGGTGAGCGTCTGGCACTTGCAGCAGGTGACTGTCACAGCCATCTTGAAAATCAACTTGAACTAGCTTATTTTGAGAATAATAATAACTGTGGAGCTTGTTGGTTTAAGGAGTCAGACCCAGGTGGTTTAGTTGAAAATTTCACCAAAGTTCTTTGGCTTCAACCCTTTTCTGCTGCTCTCTGGATGTCAGCCCCATCCTTTGCAAATTCTTTCTTCTGAAGGCTGGACTCATGGCATCCTGTACCTATGGCATCACATGTATACAACTTTGTGACCTGAGAGAAAGGAATTCCAGTTTCTTGTCTGCTCCTGCCCCAAAATTAATGTATTGAAAAAAGAAGGACTCCCAGTTTGGCTTAGCTGGATTATGTGTCTGTCTTTGTGGACCAACCACTTAGTAAAATGGAATAGGATACCATAACCCAACCTGAGTTGTATCACAGGTCGGAACTGAGGAGGAGAGCACCACAACTGAGTGGTTAGCCTTTTGTTACTATCATAAACCTGCCTGTGACAGTTCATAAGTATTATTTGTTGTGAAATTAATACTCTAAATGAAAAGAATGTACATAATGGGCACCAAATTTCTGTTTATTTTCTTTTGGAATTTAGGGGCTGGTCTGGGAAGGAGTAAGTTTGTACAGACCCAACTTGGTGGATGTCTGGGATCAGCCTGGGGTCTGCCTGGCCTCTGTTACCTTGATCTTGCTCTCTGGTTTCAGGTGCGCTAGGCTGCCTTCCAGTCCCTTGGCCCCTTCATTTCCACCTTTGCAAATCCCTCCAGGGCTGGCCTGTGCATCCGAGAGGATGGCACCCTGAGCACGCGGCCACCGAGCCAGGGTCTAGAGGCTCCCTTAGTCCATGTGCTTGCGGTGATTCCTCCCCCCCCAGCAGGTCCGCACCCAGCAAGATCATCACCAGAACTCCTGCTTTAACTTAAGCATCCACCTAGAATTCTAGCAATTACCTCGTCTGGAATTTTAGTAATAGTGACCTTCTGGGCAGGATGGAATATTAGAGCTTTAATTATGTAAAGAAGCAAAAAGTAATTGCAATAATGATTTTGAAACCTGACTACTGGGTTATAAATAATGAAGCTACTGTGTTTCCTAAATTTAGATAAAATATTCATTGAGAGTAGTGATTAAATAACCTATAAAGGAAATTTTCTCTTACTTTTTGATTAATGAAGTTCTTTAGATAATTTACATAGGGCAAAATGTGAATTCTCCCAAAGTCCTGTGCTCTTTGTGAAATAGTATGTTCTGTGCACATAAAGGTGACATTCGTGGTCACCATTAATAAACCCCATGGTGTTTTATATGGCCGTTGATCTCGGGTTTTTCATATCTTTCTTCCAAGGATGATGTACCCACCACACAGCATGAGGTAGTTTATAAGTGTGTCTCCATTGTTAGTGTTAGGTGGAGTGTTAGGGTAGGCAGGTCGTACCTCAGATCGTGGAGATCGCCTGTGATTGCTTTGGCCTTGCCTTTGTCCTTCTCTGTCAGAATCCATTGAACTTCTGCTAAATGTCAGGCCCTGGTGCCACATATGTAATTGAGAAGTACTCCAATATGATCAAAAAGTATAGCGAATACCAATTTTAAAAAAAAGTTTACAGATCACAGTGAAAGACGTGTTACCCTGAATGCCCTTTAGAATCGCCCTCTCTCTGTGGGCACCCTTCTTGCTGCATTCTGAAGCAGCTCTGGAATCCTCTTTTGTTTCTTTAGTTGTGCTGTCATGGCTGCCTCAATATTCTGTATTGATTCAAAGCTTGTACCTTTTATGGTCATTTTGACTTTGTGGAAGAACCCAAACATGGGTACCGGGTACAGCGATGCCAGGTACAGCGAGTAAGGTAGACAAGGGCACGCCGCAATGCTTTCTCGAGTCTGCCTTTCCGTTGGGTGGCATTCAGGAGTGGCGTTCACTGTATCTCCTATCATGCTGCATGAAGGCACTCCTGAAAGAGGACTTCCAGAGCTGCTTCAGAAAGTGGCAAGGGTGCTGGGTAAGTGTGTTCACGGTAAAGAGAGGATTCCGAGGAGGATTCATGGCAGTGTCTTTCACTGATGCACATTTTACCCACTTACAGTTTGATCCCTCCTATTCCCCATCACAGCTTGCAAGGTGGGTAACAAATGAACAGCCCTTGCAGTTTTGGCGCCTTCTTTTTCCCAGTGCCCACTTTGGTGGACGCACTGCTGGGCAGTGGACTGGTCAGGTCTTGGCAGCAGGGAGTTTCCGCAGCCGCCAGGAATATATCGCCACTTGAACTCGGTGAAGGGTGGCTGGACGGCCATACATTTCCTGTGTGTATCACACTGTCCTTGGAGCAAAGAGGGCTGCTGTAGTCTCACCCTTGAGGCTTTAAGTTTGTAACATCAGGGGTCCCCGGGGGGCTGGTGATGAGTTAGGGGAGAAGGACTGGGCTCGTGAAGATTCAGATCTCCCGGTTCTCCATGTTACCTCCAGACTATTACATGGCACTGAAAGTCCTTCTGTTTAACCCAGGGCGACAAGGCCCGTGTAGAGAGAGCCAGATCTGTGTGCGGAAGGGACACCAGCAGAAACCAGTGTTCTCCAGCATGGCAATAGCTCTTCCAATGGCCTAACAGAAAACCTGAAAGAGAACCCTGCTTTGGTTGGAGCAGGGTTGACGAGGCTTTCCCCAGAGGCCATGCCACCTCAGAACTCCCTGCTATGAGTGGTTCCCCCAGTAGAAACCTCCCAGGAAACACAGCAGGTGTATTCAGTAATGTCCTTTATTGGCGAACTCTTCTCCCTGACATAAGCAAGGACATGGAGCTGTTTCTGAGTGGGGACGGGGCTCAGGAAGAGGGCAGCGTGGGACCAGAGACTGCTTACAACAGCTGCGTGGCTAGGGATGAGATTCAGAAAGTCCTCAAGAGTTTACAGCAGCACATGACAAATGATCCAGATGTTCAAGGTGAATGTTCACTGTCATTAAGGAGAAAACAGGTTAGAAAATTTCTGTGTTGTGCCTTGCACATGGCCACTTCCTTCTTCCTTAGGCCTGTATGGTGGTGCGTGTGTCCCCCATGTTTATTGCACTGTACGTTCGTGCAGGAGTGAGACTGGTCTGTCTCGCCGTGGTCAGCAGGTTCAGAGAGCTGTGCGAGGGCTGTGCCTTCGGGTCTGCACATAGATGCGCGTAGCCTGAAGGCAGTTCCCATAGAACAGGTCTGTAGCAGTGGAAGTGCCATCAGCTTCATGGGTGCTGTGACATCATTTCCCATACCTAATGCCCTTTCTAGTCACGAACAGCAAAGGGTGGTGTTCCTTTAGGAGCTTATTAAATCACGCCTTAGCTAAACTCTGTGCTTTCTGTCTTTGTATTGCTTGGAAAAGTACAACTCCTTCTTTGGGGTATTTTTCATGTTATGACTAGTGCTCCCACTGAGCGTCTGATCTGAGAGCCAGACCTCGCAATCCATATCCATTATCACGACTCTCCTTTTTCTAAACAGTGCTATATTTGTATTCTTCTTTGAGTTGGAGAAATTGGAAAAAACAACACTTGGTGCTGTTGCTGGGCGAAGATTTGTGAAGCTTTCAGGAAGGGAAATGTGAAGATCCAGTTAGCCCTGTGATTATTCTTTGTCCTTAAGCTTATGAAGGAAATTAAATCAGTGTTTGCTGAAGGAATGAGCACGTGTAACGTATCACATCTAATAGCCACAGACAAAGGTCTGTTTTTGGAAAACTCATTACTGGATTTGTCTGATCCTCAGTGTTAGGACCTGCGCTGGGGGCCAGTCCGCAGTGATGGACATGTTTTGCCCTGGGGACCTGGCCGAGGAGTCTGTGCAGCAGCCCCACGTAGGCTGTGATGAGCACGGGGACATGATGTGTTCCGGAAGCACAGGCAGGAAGCTGATCTTTCCTGGGGACACAGAAGATGTCTGGGAGAAGACGTCACAAAGCCGGTGGAATTTGACCTGCGCTTGGGCAGGGTGGGAAACTGCCCTCAGGGGAGGTTGAGAGATGAGTTCCAGGGAGTTCTTTCAGGTCAAGCCACTGTTTGTAGTGTATTCCATATACATGCTACTTAATGTCTTTGTAAGATCTTCTCTTTAGATCTGAAAAGGATCTCTAACCCCAAAAGAGTCAGGAAAAAAACGACATGTTTAGTTTGTGGGCTGCCTATGGTAAGAAATGTCCCTTAGGCCATTGGGAAGGACCTGGTGTGCTTCTCTAAGGAGATGGGACTTGCCCTTGGCTTGGTGGAACTTGTCCTGAGCCAGCCATAAGTTCCAAACATTTTAATGATTTGGGGGGTACTTTGAATCTTAACTCGTAGAAAACTGGATGCCAGAGGTGGCATTGTGTGTATTGGGAGGCTGGAGACATAAAAACATGGTTTTATTTTTATAGAATGATGTATGAAATGTGTCATCTTTATTGTTATATAGTCTTAGTCGTCTTGTAGACAGAAAGTCAGGTAGCCCTGGGAGCTTAGTAAGATCATTTGACTCACTAAATGGGTTTACGCTTGCACAGGTTCACTGTGTGTGTGTGTAGCCCAGGCGGTACCACCTAGTTTATCAATGGGGAGGACACCTCTTGCCAGTGTGGGGACCTCCCAGCTGTCATGGTGCAGCAGTGTTGTATTGTCTTCCTGGAGAACACAGTGGAATCAAACTCTAGTTTTCCTGATTGATGGTTTTCAAGTTCAATTCGATGTCTCTTATGTAGCTTGCATTTAGTTGAAGTGGTTGCTAGTAAAGGCCCTAACTTTGCACCGTGCTGAGGAGACTCCAGAGCGCTGCTGCCATACAGCCTGACACCGCAACAGGCCTGTCGGTTACTACCATCTTGTGCACACTTTTCTACAAACACATAAAGTCATTACAGTTCTTGCAACTTCTCTCCCTGCAGCTCAAGTTCAGGTTTTTATCTGCTGCACTGAGAGCTGCACAGCTGGACTCCGCAAATGAACCTGAGAGCAAGCTGTCAGAAGGTCTAAATGAAGTATCCATTTCAGAGCCCAGCTCTGCCTCCAACAATCAGATCCCTCCGTCAGCTTCATCATCTCGGAATGAGCTCTCTGTGGCCAGGATATTACAAAGCACAGTAAGTATGTGCCCCGTCCCTCAGCCACCGAGGATGTGACAGAAATCACAAGGCTGCATTTTCTTTTATTAATATAGCCCCACAGAGAAGATAAATGGCAAATTTCATTTCATTCTTAAGGTCATGTTTTGGATAACTAGACAACCAATCAATCAGGTGATTGATAACTGTGATTCTGTTCCTTGGAAACAGGGTGGGGACCAGAAAGTACCTTCCCTCTTCTCTAATGATGACAAGAACTGGTTCTTTGGGGGTATTAACAGTATAAATGTTCTGTGTCACTGCTGACAGTCATTTACATCTTTTAATAATGGCAGAGTGAATTCATGCAATTCCTAGAATTTAAAGTTGACAGAAGCCTTAGAGAATGATTATCACATCTAGCCCCTCATTGTACAGGAGCCCTTTAACCCGTGGCTGCTCCAAGGCACTGGTCTCAGTCTGTTTTTGCTGACTGCTGCAAGGTTCACAATTTTGTTGTACCACAGGATCCATCATAAATGTCCTGCCTCACTACAGGCTCCAGATCAACCATGCCAACCAACCATGGACTAACACTGCTGAAGTCACGAGCCAAAATAAACCTATAAACCTTTCCTCCTTAAAAGCTATCTCAGGTGTTTTGTCACAGAGACAGAAAGTCACCCAGTGACCTTGTCTGGAAAAGGGTCTTTGCTGATGTGATTAAATGAAGGATTCTGAGGTCATCCAAGTTGAGCTGGGTGGGTTATGTCCTGATGAGAGAGAAAACACGGAGAAAATGCTGAAAGAGAATGCTGCGGACATCACAGGTTTGTTGGAGGGCGGAGTTTGAAAATCCAGCAGTGCTTGCTTTTCATCCTGCGGCTCCGAGCCAGCTCCTTGCAAGCCCAGGGCATGGAAGCTGACTAGTATCTTTCTTGAGTCTCTCAGAAGCCTTTAACCTCTTGTGGCTGAGGACTCCTAATTCTTGCTAAGCTTGTACTTAGGCTGCTTTGAGCTGGGGCCTTCCACATGTAGGGTTAAGAGTGGAGAATTCAAACTAGAGAGTTCTTACTGTGGACCACGGCAGACAGGCTCTTCAAACTCATGTCTTCTAGATGAGGCTAGAACACTAATTCTCTGTTCATGTAGTTATTAATTTAGCTTTGGTGATTAAACCAACTTGTCACCTTTTTTTTCCTTAGAAACCTACTCTAGTAAAGCAAAACAGGGCAAAAACTATAAAAAGTCAAGTATAAAATACTTATTGTTGATTATAAGATACGAGATGATACCTTGTTTTGCTGGTTTGTTTCTAAAAATCTTGCAAGGAAAGGCGTGTTCCTCACTGCAGCGGTCTGTGTGAAGGACAGAGCTGTAGCTATGCTGACTTTGAGGCTGTAGTGGTATTTGGATATTTATTAGGGACAAAAGAGAAAGCAGAAGAGACAGACAGAGACAGAGAGGGACAGGAAGGAAGGGAAGGAGGGAGGGAAAGGCAGAAAAACAGGGAAAGACGCGCAGAGTCTACTGAACGAGGGCCTTGGGTTACGGACTGGAGAGCCCTCGTCCCACCAGGCCTGCCTTTGCAGCACGGGTTAGTGCTCTCGCATTTGCAGCTGGGTTCTTCAGTTCTAGTGGGACCAAGCCGGAGGCCTCCAGCTGCAGAAGAAGGAAGAGGCAGCAGAAACTCGAGCGCTTGGACAGTGAGGGAAGAGGGCTCCCTGTGCAGGCTGCTGGGAAGAGGTCGTGCCGTGGACGGAGGCCCAGCGCTGGGGCGTCGGCCTCCTTACCGACTGCCGTCCGCAGTGCCTGTGTCTGCACCAAGTGCTCGGTGGACGAGGGGTCTACCTCTCCACGGGGCTCTTTAGAAAAGCATAGAGACCCGTGTCTGCGCCCTCTTCCAGGCCCCTCTCGCTGGCTACAGCCGCATCATGGATTGTGGGTTTGGCGTGGTGGAATGGGTAAAAAACACATAAATCTCCTGAAGACTTGGATTCTTTTAGAAAAGGGGCTGCAGGGCGGTGAGCAGCTGGTGCATCGGAGCCGTTGCGAGTGTGCTGCCCGCTGCGCTCAGGCCGGGAGGGGAGTTCTTGGGCTCGGCCTGCGGTCTTTGCTTCCATCTTGACTTGGCGGCTGAAGCAAGCATGCATGTAACACTTGCACTGAATACTTTGGAGTAAAATTAATACCTAAAATGATGATAGTGACTCCAACCACACATCTTAGTATACGTGAATGTATTAACTTGGAGAAACCGAGGTTGCCGTACCCAAGAGAAACCTTAGGTTGTCACTCCAAAATATTGCTGTTTTAGCATGTATTCCGTTAAAATAAACAGTACCTTTCCGTGAAAACCTTGGGAACTGAAGGTTCTGGTAGCATGCCTCAGCGTAAACGAAGCATCTATCAGTGTATTAATCGACTTCCCGGATCATGTATTGAGCTGGTTTGTCAGAATCTGTTCGGCTGGTAGACAGTATGACATTTCAAGTGCAAGTTGGAAATCCGTGTTATGGTTGAAGGAGAAGGTCAGGTTCATCTCAGTTAATGCTGATCAATGATCAGAGACCAATATGTCACTGCTCAATGTTCTCGCTCTTTTTAATTGTTAAACCTGATGTAAAGGTTCATTACCGAACGTTAGGAGTGCTTGTTTGTACATGTGAAAACTGAGAAGAGTTGGTTAGGTAAATGCTCCTTTATCAGCCACATCTCTTCATTCAGAGTCACCACCCCACCCCGTCGGGTCCCCTCAGTTTTCTCGCCGTGGACACGCGGTGTCTGACTCCTGAGAAAGGCTGCTCCGCCATTTCTTGCAAACCTTATCTTTCCTTCCAGGGTGGTCTACGCCATAAACCTGTGAGTGTATTTGAGGGTGTTGGTGAGCACCCTGGGAGCTTCCGGGGCTAAAGGCTTGCAGAAGGAGGCTCAGGTGGTTATGAGCCTTTGCTCTTTGTAAGTACCTGAAGCAGTCTTGAAATTAAAATGTATGGAGTCTGTTTCCCTGGCATTGCAGATGACTGGTCTGTAAGATAAATGCTCAAATATGTTTTTTTGTTTTGTTTTTGGTGCTAGAAATCAAACTCAGGACCTAGCACTTGCCAAGGTGTTACATGGCTTAACTAAATCTCCAGCCTCAAATATGGTTTTCCCATTGGAAAGATAGCACTGAGTTTCCCACGTGTTTGGGGCTGGCTTACAAAGGCGTTTCCAGCAGGAAAGAGGCTGGGGGTGGGGAGCAGTAGGTCAGCTCCCGCATTTGGCATGAATCATAATGTGTGCTGGTGCTGCCCAAAATGGAACCAGTGACTGTCTGGAGACTTAGCAGAAGCTTGACCCAGCTGCACTTGAAGACAGTAGATCTCAGGTACAGGTTTGTCACGTGAAAAGAAAAAAAAAGCAATTCAAACCTTCATATTTTCTGAAAGTTAAGTTTAAGCATGGCCATTGAAGCTGGGTGTGCTGGCATGTGTGCCTGTTAATACCAGTACTCCAGGAGGCTGAAGCAGAAGGGTCACAAGGTTAAACTTAGCTGGGGCAGTAAGTTAGGAAGATCCTAGCTTTAAAAAAAAAGGAGGAGGAGGAAGAAGAGGAGGAGGAGGAAGAGATGGAGATACAACTCACACTGTGTGAAGGCCTTGGGCTCGACTCACAGTGCTGCCAAAAAAAAAAGCTCCTGAAAACCAGTGTTTGTCTAGCACTATTAATTCTATATTTTAGTTCACAATCCATGTTACTAATGTTTCCTCTCTAACTTAAAAAAGTAAATTCTGAAGTTCTGTGTAATTCCTGTGAACAATTTTATAAATTGTTAATGAAAACTAATCACTATAAGAAAATAAGTTCCATAGCTCACATTGATGTTTAGAGTCTGTGTATGTGAGTCATTTGCCTTTTTGTTGCTGCTGTTGTTGTGTTTTTGTTTTGTTTTGTTTGTTTTTTTGTCTAAGAAGTTGACAACTCCTCTCTGGGACTGTGCTTCAATCTTAAGGATTGGCTTCTTACACTGACCAATTTCTTGTAAATGTCTTAAATTCTCACGATGCGTTGCTTTTCCAGAGGTAAATGTGAATAGGTTGGGTTTCACGAGGGAGACATTCCATGGGCTGGAAGAACTGCAGTGTCTCGGGGTGGGCTTTGGACCCCCGATTCCCGGGCAGACGGAAGTGGGGTGTGGACACTCAGCGGACGGCACTGCCCAGACCAGTGATGGTGACCCTTCTAGAGCCTCCATGGATGCAGACAGCCCACTGTGGCGTGTGTGCACAGGTTCACCAACATGGCCTAAGCTGTTTTCTGGGATGCCAGATGGAGCTGTCCAGAAAAGACGAGAGTAGGGACTAATGACTCCCACGAGGCCTGGAACCCTGCTCCCGGACAGGACAGCTCGTCCTGGAGCCCTGGGCTTAGCCAGGCTCCCACCCTCTCATCTTCTTGCACACTGCTTTCACCTTGAAAGTCCATATTGCTTTTTTTTCATGAGCCGACTCCTGTGGAACCTGATGGTTTCCTTTCTCTCCTGTTTCCTAGGATGTAATTCCTCAGCCTCTGCTAGATGAGCTCGTGTCGATGACAGACCCTGCTTGGGCCCAGACCCTGCGTGAACACTGACATAGCCAAACAGTGCACTGACAGCCTCCCCAGGGTAGCCCTGGCCCCGGGCGGCAGAACTGGCACCGTCTGAAAGGCACCTGTGAAACACTGGCTTCCGACGTTCAGGTAGAAGCAACCATTTCAGAGGCAGGCGGTTATTTTATTTTGAGGCAAAGGAAAGTTCTGCAGTAAGGCTTGCTGACCTGAGTTTCCTGGTCTCTGATGAAATAAAGCTTGAAGTGGCCAATGCCTGGCAGCATCCATTTTGCTCCAGCAATGCCACGTAAGATGTTAGGGATGTTGAATTACATTTGCTTGTTGTGATTCGTGTGTGTTCTGTGCACCCCTAGTGGAAGGTCCGTTGGACCCTCGCTTTGTCTGTTTGTGAGCTGGCTGTGATTCTTGGGGATCAGTTGACAGCAGCTGACCTGGTGCCCATCTTCAATGGATTTTTAAAGGATCTGGATGAAGTACACATAGCAGCACTTAAACATCTGTATGATTTTCTAAAGGTAGGAAAAAGGGTTAAAAGTAAACCAGAAAACCTCCCCTTCTCCAGCCAGTTTTGTTGAACCCTGGGTGTGTATAGTATCAGTGGGGAAAAAATGCAGGTGCCTGATTTCTTCAGTCGAGATGCACCATCAAGTATTTTAAAGTGGGTATTCTTCCACTGACAGGAAATATTTTTCTATCTTTCCTCCCACCCACCCCTCCAGTCCTTCAGAGCTGCAGTTCTGTACAGGGTGGTGGACGCATTGCCCAGCACCCTGGCCAGACACCTGACTGCTCCCAAGTCACCCGGGCAAGAGCCTGGGTGAAATCTGATCTCAGTTCTGCAGGAAGGGCTTTTTCTGCAGCATGTGGCTGCTTCCCTTCTTGCATTTTCTTTGCTTTTTCTTGTCCTTAAGAAATGGTGAGTGTAAAAATAAGAGTTTAGAAGTCACCTAGAGAATCTGATTATCTGTACCCACAGGACCCCAAGCTGCCCTTGCAGGACTGTGGTGCACAGTGCACTGTGCAGACCCCTCCTGGTGCAGGAGCCTTCCCAGCTGAGCAGCTGCAGTGGTCTCGTCCTCAGAACACGCAGCCGTGCTGCTGCAGGGGGGATGATGAAAGGAGGAAGTCCCAGGGGGCGTGTAGCAATGCACGAGTACACACACCCACCAGGAAAGGGCTGGCGTGCGGGTGCAGTCATGTCTGCTAGCAGCCGTCTTAGCTTACAGCCCCTCTGGGCCAGAGACTGCAGGGGCTGAAGGCAGTGCAGGTTCTTGCTAACGACGAATATATATAATCTGAAGCAGAATAAGAGGGGACTGGGTTCATTTTGAGGGATATATTTTTACATATATATATTCATTTTTAAAAATAGTTGCTCCATGAAGACAAGAGGAGAGAATATCTCTATCAGCTTCAAGAATTTGTAGTGACTGATAACAGGAATTGGAGGTTTCGATATGAACTAGCAGAGTAAGTAAAAACCTATTCGGGGCTATGAGAAGGCAGATCAGAAAGAATAATTCTTAATTTTCCTACCTTATAATTGATTTCTAAACCAGAAGTAATAATGTTCTTTTAGATAAAGAGATTATGTTTTATTAAGGTATAGACTGAATTTCAAAACTGTGAGTTACAAATACCACAGTCTCTGGGGAGACATTCATTTGCCCATGAAGACAGGACTGGAGTCACTCTGGAATTAGAGTGTTCTGCTCTTCTGGAAGGCAATTTATTTGAACCAACTGAAGGATGAATCACCCACTCTTCAATATTTTCCTATTAATCGGAGCAGTTTTTGCAAAGCTTTCTTGAACATTCTGAGTGCAGTCCTCTCTGTAGGGTACATTGTGCTTTATGTACTTCAGCTTCTAAAGAAAATTGGGTGACAGTGAGAGATCTGGAAAGGTCTAACCCAAATGAAATGATTATTAAATAAAAATGTCACCCAGGTAGCTCGTATCTGTACATCATTCCATGTGAGAAGGAGTTAATTGTATCTTGTGCAGGGAAAGGCAGTGCTCGAGGTCCTGGTGATTTTAGACAGTGTCATTTAAAATGCCCCTCCAAGGGGTATGATGTGCTTTCCATTCTGTGGGGTGGATTTGTTTGTGCTGATGCTTGTTTGGGTTGTAATTTCTACCTTGTTGAGATTCGTTTTTATATCTTTTCATTTTTCTTATCTACAACTAGCAATCTCTCAAATAATTGTCTTCCCCAAAGAAATTCATCAGGCTTTTGCAGCTATTCAGGATATGATTTGGCTGATGCCAGGGGCACGCTGGAAGATTTTTCTCTTTTCTGTGAGCTTTAATCATTATGCTTAATTTGAGAGATTGAGGTTTAGTCATTATGCTATGTTCCAGGCGTACTCTTCCAAAAGAATGGAGGAAAAACAGGCCCAGGTTTTCCACGACTGCATTGCGACCTCTAGCGGCCGCCTCGGCAGCCAGGCGGCCGGCCGGCTGGGCTGCCCGCTTCCCGGCGGCGCCGGCTGCCTCGCGGCCGATCTGGCCCGGCAGCGCGCCGTCTTCCATCCCTGCCTAGTGCATATTGAAGCCAGAGCGGCTGATAAGAATTCTGTGCTCCCGTGCCCATGATATTGGTATCATTTTTCTGAAAACAGTGCTTTTTGATATGAAAGAGTTCACCAGCGCTCCTGGCTTCTAGCTGTAACTTGCTCCCCATCGCTGTTTCATTTCCTTTGGTTGCCTGGTTGAAAATAATACCATTTATTTCCCCACCCTCCGGATCCCCTGCCCTATTTAGACAATAGTGCGAGCGCTGGTAGGGGGCTTTCTCGGCCAGCTGTCACATGTCTGCTTCCCTTTGTCTGCCGAGGGAGAGCACGCGCTCGCTTCTCCGCAAGCCGACCGCGCGGCTGGCGAAGCCGAGCCGCGGAGCCCGGCCGCCCGCCCGCCGTGCTGCAGCGCCGCGCTTCTCGCTTGCTTCGCGGCGGCTGGAGCGCTCGGGCGACCGAGGCGCTGCGGGGGGCCCGACCTCTGCTCTGGCGATCTTTGCAACTTCAGCGTTTGGGCTATTTTTATGTTAATTGATTTAAAAAAATTTTTATATGCTTTTCAACTGAGAACTTAAAATTGAAATATTAAATCTGTGTTCATAAATTTCTCAGCATTTATTTTTACAAAGTTTGATTTATTTCCTTTTTGTTTCATGTGAATATATGATGATTTCTTTTCATATTTTTTCACACGGCCAATTACTCCACTTACCTGCCG